AGAACCAAAAAGTAGTCAATGGTTGCTAGGTCTTTAGTTGAGGTAGATTATAGAGCTATGGCCCATGGTGTTTCTGAATTGTTATGGCTTAGATCTCTCCTTAATGAGAAGGGTGTTTCATGTGACAAGCCACTGATGGTGTATTGTGATAACCAAGCTGCTATTAACATTGCTCACAACCTAGTTCAGCATGATAGAACTAAGCACATTGAGGTAGACAAACACTTTCATTGCATTAGAAGAGCAGCTAGCAGATTTTCTAACTAAGGGAGTCCCAAAGGCAAAGCTTCAACATTATATAAGCAAGTTGGGCATGATTGACATCTATGCTCAGCTTGAGTGGGAGTGTAATGACAATGGGCCAAATGGGCCCTAGTGTTCTTTATTTCTTTTAAGTAGTGTTTAAAAGTTATGTTTCTTAGTTATGGGCCTTATGGGCCTTATGGGCCTTCTTTTATATTCTTTAATTATCTCTTTAGTGTTGGCTGCCCCATTAAGGGCATCCAAGTAATTGTACTCAGACTTAGAATTATTAATAAAAGTGATGAGAGGGGGCTAGAGAGAGAGAGAGAGGTTTGAATTCTTCTTTTCTCTTCCCTTCTTTTCTTCTTCCACAACCTACTGCTGAAACTTCTTTTCTTCTTCTTTCTCTTTCTATCTTTTCTTCTTTTCTTGCATTATCTGAATTACTGTAGGTGTAATTTTCAACTATTTCCATATATCATCGAAGGAGAAAGGTAAGAAAAGGTCTAAAGACTTTACCCAACAAATGGCCCTACTTAAAATACTTTCCTTCACACAAGTTTAATCCCTCTCCTTATCATTGAAAATTTTGGCATTTCTTTCCTCCCAAACAGTCCACACCAAAGCATCTCTAGCACACCTCCACAAGGTTTTAAGTCAGTTATTAGGTAAAGGAGCAGAAGTTGGGATGTTTGAAGGCTTTCAAGCAGGAAGAAAAGGAGTTCCCATTACCCATCTCCAGTTTGCTAATGACACCTTGATATTCTTGGATGCTTCAACTGTGCAAGTGTTGAACTTAAGAGTGACCCTAAGGTTCTTTGAATTGCTGGCAGGGCAAAAGATCAACTTGATTAAAAGTATGATGATTGGGGTAGGAAGTATTTTTGAGACTCTTTTGGAAGATTGTGCTGCTACATTGGGTTGCTTGGTGGGGGGGGAGTTCCCTTTTACTTATTTGGAAGGGGAGGTTTCTTTCACTTGGGAGGAGGATAATTTTTATTAAGAGTGTGTTGTCTAATCTACCAATGTACTACCTCTCATTATTACAAGCTCATGGTTCTGTGATAAACTCAATAGAAAAAATGCAAAGGGAGTTTTTTATGGGGAGTCAAAGGGCATGGAAAGATTTTCACTTGGTAAAGTGGGACAGGATCTGTAGGGAGAAGAAAAATGGAGGTCTCAGAATCAAAAAATTGAAGCATTTCAATAAAGCTCTTTTGGGGAAATGGCTATGGAGATTAGAGAGATGCCCCTTGTAGGAGGGTGCTGAAGTGCAAATATGGGGTGATTGGGTTCAGGTGGGATTCTAGAGAAGTGAACACATCTTATGGAGTGGGTGTTTGGAAGGGCATTATGTGCTTCCAATCAGCATTCCTCAATAATTAAATTGGGAAGATGATTGCCTAGGCATTGGAAAATTGTGTGACCTTTGCCCACAATTGTATGGATTGGGAAAGAAGAACAGCTCTATCGTGGAGAATTTTCAGATCAATCAAGGTAGAGCACTGTGGTGCCCAAGATTTAGAAGATCTCCTTTACGACTGGGAAATTGAGGAATGTGAAGACCTACTTGCAAAGTTACAATCATCCAAACCGCAAGTGGAAAGGAAGGATTCAAAGTAGTGGAAAGAATCTTGAAATGGACTGTATTCCATCAAACCCTTCAAAAAGGCTCTATCAAGGAATAGTGGAGAAAGTTTGGAATTAAAAGGGATTTGGGGAACCCTGCTCCTCCAAGGGTGGAAACCCTTTGCTTGGCTAGTGGCACTAGATAGAATTCTGACCCAAAATCATATTCAAAGCAGAGGTTTCCATTTGGCTACCAGATTTTCTTACATGAGAATGCAGAGGAAAATGTTTATCAATTGTTTGAGTGCCCCCACTCTAAAATCATCTGGTGCCACTACCACAATGTAGATGCATACGAAGGTGAATGTGAGGGGTCTGCATCTATGTACTATCCATGACTTTAGGCCTTGATCCCTCGTTGGAACAAATTGATCACTATATGAGCCAACTAGGATTCAGTCATACAGATGTGATAAGGAGAAATGCTCCATGATCCAACCCAAAGCTTGTAGGGAAGAACATGAATCAGAAATTTCATTGAGGTCTGTGGTGGAAGAACCTGAAGCCCACCACTGACCTCGGACCTCCTCGGGGGATGCAGAAACAAAGCCACCACAGTACCAAGAGAGCTTTGGGGTATATAGTGGATGTCTGCTACTCTCTCGCCTGTGGACAGAGACCAAAGGCCAAACCACGTAAATCTATGTATTGTTTCTTCTCTCTTCTTAGTATCTCTGTTTTACCTTGTGTTTGTGCCATTCAAACCTGTTTGATTCTTGGATTGTCGTAACAAAACTGCATATTTGAAATTCCTGCTGAACTGAATCCAGGGTATGATTTGACTCAGTAGGTACTTAGTTGTGATATAGTTAGTCTGCCTCACAACTATGCTCTTTAAGGGAGAAAAGTCAAAGAGCTACTGTAAGACTCTTCTCCAGCTTGGATCATTCTGTTTTGGTGTCCTTTAAGGGGGCTCCCAAAAGATTATACAGATAGACTCTAAATAGGAGGTAAAGTGTGATCTGTGTAGGAAACCAAGGCATACGCACAACTCTTGTTGCAAGCTGAACCTTCATTACCTGTCTGATTCACCAAGTGAAAGAAAAGCAATGCAAATGTGACAACCACAAGTGTTCTTCAATCCACAGCAGGATCTAATGGTTTAAATAGGTATTTAACATCAAATATAAAGCTGATGGTTCTCAAAAGAGATGTAAAGCAGGACTTGTGCCTAACAATTACACATAGGCCTATGGAATTGACCACCAGAAGACTTTTATATCTTGCTTCTTACTTCTCTTTGCCTTTATATGTTGGAAATAAAGATTGAATTCATAATAGAGATCTATATAAGGAGGTGTATATAAAGCTACCAAAGTTATATGTTTACCAAGGAGCAGAGGAAAACTGTCTCGCCTCAAGAAGTCTTTTTGTGGCATGAAAAGTCTTCACATGCTTGGTTTGAAAGTTTCAAAAATGTTGTTCAAAGAGTTAGAGTTAGTCAGTCCCATGCTGATCAAGTTTTGCTCATCAAAATAGACTACGACCTAGTGACAATTTTAAGTGTTTATGCAGATAACATTGTGGTTTCAATGCACAGCCTAAAATTTTTCCATTCAAAGCAGTTTCTTACTTCTAAGTTCAAGAATAAAGGCCTTGGTGATACAAGATATTTCGTACCTGTCAAGGTTCCTGAATCCAAGAAAGGAATTTTAGTTCACAAAAAAAATGTCCTGGATTTACTGAAAGATACAAGAAAACTTGGGAGTAAATATGGCTGATACTCCCAGAGATCCTAATGGACCTAATCACAATCTCATAAGTGATCAAGGAGAGTTACTTAGTGACAATAAGTTTCAGAGGCTTGTGGATAGAAAATTGTATTTATGTATGACAAGACCAAATAATTCCTGGGCAGTAAGTGACTAGTGTAATATGTTAGTATATGCATCAGCCCAAAGTTCTACATTTGGAAGCTGTAGAACACATTTTATGTTATCTAAACAAAAAAAAAAAATCCATGGTTCAGCTTCCCAACCACATCTTCTATGCTCCCAAATTTCAGCAGTCACTGAATCACGTGATTATCTCACCCTTCTCTCTTAATTTCTTCAAGAATAATTAAATCTAATCTCCACTTCCTTAAAACAAATTTTACTGTACTTCTCTTCTCCACGGCCCCCAGGCAATTAGAAAACTGTCACCCTTGGAATGTCCCCCTCTGTAAGCTCCCCATATGTCCTATCTCTATTTGAACGCCGAACAGACATCTTTGTCAAAGCCTCCAGAAATGGAATTGTCATTGAGTGTCCATTTCAAAAGATGTTTCTCCCCACACAAGTCCAGGCGCTTTTTCAGCAATTTGTTAAGGACCTTGCCTCTCGTGCTACTGTTTCTTTTTTCTAGAACCAAAAATAGGGCTAGCACTAATTGCTCGTAACCGTCAAACGACACACCCAAGAATGAACTGATCACCAAATTGTTCTCCCTGACCCAATCTGAGATCCCTCTAAAGAATTGAAGGAGCAAAGCAGAAACTAAAGACTTCAAGGTACTCTATGATAATAAGGTCCCATTTGGTTCATGGAAATAGGGGTCTGGAATCGGAATCGGAATGGCCCATTCCAATTCCAACTGTTTGGTTGAGCAGAATCAGAATCCGATTCCCACTCCTGGTGGAATGGCATTCCCCCATTTGAGGGAATGGCCATTCCCTCCCCCTCCCTTTGGAATGAAATCCCATTCGATCTGATTCCAATTCCTATTCCAATTTCTGTCTGTTATGGGAATAGACCATTCCGATTCCGACTCCGAAGGATTTCGATTCTTATTCCAATTCCGACTGCGAACCAAACGGACCCTAAATATGAATGCAATCAAGCAATGAGTAAAGTTATATAAAAAAATACAAATCAATGTCTTAAATCCAGACTTTTATAGAATTTGTGATTAAGATGTATTAGTGAATATGTAATATTCAATAAAAAATACCTCCACAAACATTCCAACCCCAAAAAGGTAAAAGATAAGCATATTAGCAGCTAAAAATGCAAATTACAGTCCCACAACAAGCATCACAAAAGGGAAAAGTATACCAAATAAAAATGAATAGATGTGAATAGATTAAACATCAGAATCATGCAAGCATAATAACATCCAATTAAAAAGAAACATTTTTCAGGTAGAACCTTGATGCAGCCATATCATCAGCATATTCCCTATGTGATTGTCTATCACCGCTAAGCATGGACCTTCCGCGTGCTTGAAATAAAGGATGTTCTGGACTGCAAAAGCAACAAAGAAAAACTAGTTTAAAACTAATAAAAAGTGCATTAAAGAATTATATTTCTGATGAAAAACAAGAAAGTGAACATACATAATGATACTGATAAGAAAATGAGCATATATGTGAGGATGTATAAAGGGGAGGCAGGAAATTCTCAGTTACAAAAACAACTAGTTTACAACTAAAGTAACAAAACATTAAACAACCATATTCTATAAATGATTAAACCAAGCATACAAGTATACACATTGACTTTAAGAATGTACAAGGAAGAGATCACTTCATTAATACCATGAACAAAAAATTATGGTGGCATCAGTCTGTCAGCATACAACAGCAATTCCAGCTCCAGAGTTGGTTAAACTATCCACAACATGTCTAAAATCCCTTATTATCCCATTTAATTGAACCATAAAAAGTGAAGCTCTGTTGCATGACTACAATACAATCCTTTTCAAGTGTCAGAGGTGACAAAAGTTCATAATAGAACTACTAACCTGAGTCAAATTTCCTCATTCTAGAGGATTGCCTTCTTCCTTTTCTTTATTTTCCAATTTGTTTCTTATCTTGTCTATCACAACAAGCATTATTGATTATAGAAACAAGGTAAACCTCTATTGTTTGAGGTGTTTCAAGAAAGGGAGCAATCATAAAACTAGACCTGCCATCAAAGATACAAAAGAAAAACAGAGAAAATACAATTCAACCACTTAGTTGCACACCAGTAGAAGGAGATCCTCAAATAAGAAAGCCCCTACCTACCCCTTCTCTTGTGGGATAATCAGCTATGTTGTCTAATGATCTGCCATCCATCCAAATGAGCAGTACAAATGAGTAGTCAAGCACTTTGCTTCTCAACTTTCAATCATTAATGTATGAAAAAGTCATCTAATACTAGCTTGGTCATTCTTAACTGTAGTAAGAGCAGTAAACATTAGAAAACCTTGAAAACAAGTCAAGTAAGGAGTTTCTACTTTCAGCTTTTAGCAACCTTAAAAATTATAGTATGGGAATCAGCCATGGACACCATATCTGTATATCCCCTTCATCCTATTTCAAACAAGTTGGTTTTGTAGAATCCACAGACCACCCATGAAGACCTCTCAAAGAATAAATAAATCTGATCCAGCATCCTAAATTTATGGATGGCCTGGCGTTGTTTTTTGACTTAATTTAGTGGGTTTTTCTCCACTATCATGAGGGAAGAATTATCCTTTTATCCTTGTACAGCAGCATCTTGTACCATCCTCGTGTCTCATTTCAAAGTATCCAGTTATTTCCTAATAATACCGTGTTCATTAACCACTAGGGTCTCAAACCCAAGCCACCTCTTTAGATGGAAGTATGCACCATGCTTCATTCTACTAGATGATACATCTCAGAGATGAAATAGTTCCATTGTTCATATTATAACATAAGAAACTGGTTATACATGTTTTGTTCATGACAGCCAAATTTCCCAATGCTTCCACACTATTGAAAATGATCATAGACATGTTTTACAGGTATCAAGAGAAACAAAGCAAATAATCAAGCTGTAGGTAAAATTACAAAACAAGGACCACAAAATTGTATGCTGTTATTGCAAATGCCCAAGCAACAAAAGGCTAATAAGCTATACTGAAATACCAATGCAAGTATGAACTGGTTCAATTTTCATCAGTACAACATGCCAAGATAAATAGTTTGAACAAGTAAAACCTTGAACTGGCTGTCCGTTGTTCAGCAATTGCTTTCCTCCGGCTGCGTCGCCAAAAGGTGTTTGCAATGTTAGGTTCACTATGTGATACACTGATAGAACCAAAAGAAAATTTCTTAGTAACCATGTTATGCAATTACAACTCTTCAATTATCAGAATGGAATAAGCACTGAAATGACAACATTTCTGGTGCACGAAGAAATCCCATAGGATAAGCAAGCAATACTACCTGAGCTTTCTCTCAATAGCTGGTTGCAACATTACATTCCGCAATGAAGGACCTGCTACATTCAAAGAAGCTTCTAACTTTCGCTGATATATAGTTTGAAGGCTCTCATCTTGCTCCATGCTGCAGTGCATAGAAAATTAAATCAAAAAAAAAATGGATGTTAATATTAGAATCATTTCATTAGAAATGAAGAAAAAAGGAAAGAAAGGAGGAAAGAAAGAGAAAAGGGCCAAACATTCAAGATGCAGTAAATCCTAAGCAGCCATATTACAATTTTGGGCAACACTTGAACTCAGAAATGGTTAACCCATGGAATATGGTAAAAAGATAAAATTTTAGTCTGAAAAGTTTTTTTGTCATAATAATCGAAGTTTGTTCGATGATAACAGAAAATTTTAGTAAAAGAAAAAATAAAAAAAAGAGTTAAAGGGACAGGTCATAAGAAATCATTGACAAAGAACAGACAACCAAAGCCCCTCACATATATAACATCAATACCCCCAACAAATTCCTTGCAAACCCATTACAATAAAAAAAGTCACCTAAAAAGGCCTGAGGAAGAAGTAAAAAATGCTAAGTTGGGCCAACCTAAGTTGCACCACTACCTAAAACTGTCACTATCATTTTTCCAAATGCAATGGTGCTTACATGAACTACAGCCCAAAAAGCTTCTAGACCATCCCAAAAATATAATACCCAAAACAAAATCCAAAAGCAGAAATGCCAACATCCACTCTATGCTAATTTCTTCCATCCCTCAACTCTTTGAATAGGCAACTGAATAACCCACCTTCAAACCATCTACCTACAAGAACTTGAACTTCATCCTTGATTCCTTTAAGACTATTTCTTCTATACCACACAATGCCTCCATCACCACTTCCCAAACAACTCCTTAGGATACTAAATTGTATATGTATATGAGTTTTTGGATTCCTTTTTTTATGGGTAATAGTGAAATTTTGTTAATTCAGGAACTGATTTAGAATTGTAATTTCATACGGCATCCCATGGAGAGGCACGAGCTACAGCCTCTCACAATATCTTACAAGTAAACTAAGAATAAATTACAGAAATCACAGCTGAGCCCAAAACAGTTCTTCCCTATTTACCCCGTGCTTGGCTAACACATCAGCCAAAGCATTTGCTGACCTCCCCACCCACTGTATAGAAACCAACATATTCCTTGTCATCCAATTAAATTTCTTAGTTTCATTCTTGTAGCACCATATAGAATCTCCAATCCTAAAGGACCCCAGTAGAGCAGAACAACCTCTCCAATCTCATTCCTCAGAACATCCCCCCCCCATCTTGCTACTGCTGACCAGCTTCTCCAAAAGTCATTATATGAGAATTGATGAAACTTTTCCAAAGTCTTCAGCCAAAGTATTGCCCTATTCAACACACAATCCTTCAGTTCCTGGCTGCTCCTTTCCTTCTCTTGAAATAATCTAGCATTCCTTTCTTCCCATAACCCCTTAAATCTTTCCGTTTCCTTCAATTTCAAAAAACACTTTCTTTGCAGTTTATTCACCTCCTAAAACTCCAGACCCTTTTCTTGCTTGAATTTGTGTCAATTGCCTTTTCCAAGTTCATCTTCTTATCTATAAGAACAATTTCAACAGATAAAGTTTGTTGTGGAGCCTAACATTATGGGCTTAGGCCCTCTTACGTTTATGTTTATATTATGTTAGTTATCACTGCTTCTTCCTTATTGGGCCTAATGGGCCTGGGTTTTTATATTGTATTTCTTATGTTTCTTACTGCCTACTAATTAAGGGCAGATTCGTCATTGTACATTTTTTCTTTCTTAATGCCCTAATATAAAAGATAGTTGGGGGGCTGGTAGACCTGGCAATTGGGTTGGGTCAAACACTTCAGGTTGATTTCAGGTTGGGTCGGCAAATGCTAGACCCTAACCCTAAATGTTCAGGTTAGGGTTGACCCACTGATCAATTCAGCTCATCCCAAAAATAACTGAAATTTTTAAAAATAAAGAAAAAATACATGAAAATGCCAAAATTAAAAGAATTAACCTTAAAATTCCAAAAGTAAAATAAAAAACTTGAACATTTAGCAATTCAAAAAGCAAAAACTAAATAGTAAAGATTAAAAATTGGAAACTTCTAACAATACATAAATAGTCCTAGTTAGACACGACAATCAGGTCAGATGATTGGCCCATGACCCAACCTAACCCAGTTTCTTCGGATTGGGTCGGGTCGGGTCATCCATATATTCAGATAACTAAATATAAGACCCTAATCCTGTTTTTTGGGTCTGGTCAGGTCGTGTTCGCAGGTTGGGTCAACTTTTTGCCAAGTCTAGGGGCTGATTATAAAGTGCTGCCCATTTCTCTCAACTTTCTTCTACTGGTTCAAAATCTGATCTTTTGCTGTCTCATCTTTCTCGTTTCTCTTATTTCTGCTTAGGGTTGTCAAAGAAACCCTATTTCCGTTCATGGTTCTCTAAAACTAGTTTCTTCCTAGGGTTTTCCCTTGGGAGAAGAAGGGAACCCAGAACAGGTTTGGTTATGTCCTCCTAAGGCAAGACAAGCTGTGAATAGTTTCTGGACTACTAGAGTAACCTGTGGAAGTGGTATCCAGTTTAAGACTGTGAAATGCAAGCAGGCACCGTTCATGAAGCATTTCTGACCACATTTTTGGGAGATTCATACCCCTGTGCAGACTTCTAATTGACTGAAGATAAAGGACAGCTCGTTGACTTGCTACTTCAAGGGTTTAGAGACTAAACAGTAACAGGTTAGAAACCAAGGAAGTGCCTTGTTGTTGGTAATTCAGAAGTTGCAGACCAGGTGTTCGATTAGTGTTGCAGCCCAATTTTTTCTTCACATTCTCTTGCTGTCTTTTGGGAGTGGTTTCCCAGATTATAGGCCGAGAAGTTTTGGTTGTATCTTCTGTTCCTGGGTGAGTTTCAAGTTCAGCAAGTGTCCATTATGTCCTCAGGCAGTGTTTTGAAAATCGTAATCATATCGTAAATCGTAGAGAAAGTTGAATTGAATCGAATCGTGAATCGTGAATCGTGAATCATATCGTAAATCGTAAAATTATTTCTATTTTTACAAACTTGTCAAAAAATTAAATATAGATATATTAAAAGACTAAATATATATAGGAAAGTGACTTTACTCTATTTTTAATCTGTATCTACCTTATATGTACTTAAAACAATACAATTCAGCACTAATGCAATAGAAGCCTAAGATGATATAATCAAGTTGGACTTGAAAATCAAGCAAATCTACATAAATGGCTCTTTAGCATAACATATAATGGAAAATAAACTCAATTTCTTTTCCTAAATAACGTAAATAAATAGTTGTATAGTAAGGACTTAAAAAAGTCTCCTTTTGGAGAAACTAAATATAAACAAAAATAATAATAATAATAAAGTAGATAACTAATTCTTAATTGAGTTAATTTGAATCGTAGTGAATCGTACAAATCCTAAGATAAATGAATCAAATCATAGGATTCAAACAAAAATCGTTAAGATTTTTGCAAAAACGGATTCAGACATAAGATTTGAGTCGAAACACCTGGGATTCATGATTCAAATCAAGAATCATATCGTAAATTGTAAGATTTTGACAACATTGTCCTCAAGTTCTAGTGAGGTAACTTCTAAAGAGAACCAGCCAAGTGAGAGTTTCTATAACATAAAGAACCCTAGTTTCCTAGTCTTCAAATCACAAATGTGAAGTTAGATGAATACAACTTCAAGGAGTGGTCTATTTCAGCAAAGCTTCATACTACAAGTCATGGTTTGCTAGGGTATATCAATGGATAAGTCAAAGAACCTACATATGGGGCATGGATAGAGAAAAATGCATTGGTTATGACATGTTTCTATCCTCCATTACACCAAAGTAAGGTTCAAAGTATCGATACAGTCTGATACACCAAATTGGGCGTACCAGACTTTGTATGAACATACTTAAGAGGCCTGGCTACCCACTGAAACAAGTCTTACCCCAAAACTCCCCTTATTTCACATATCGGTCGATACGTGACGAAAATTTGCTAGAACCATTCAGCACTATCCTACAGCCCATAAAATTTGCTAGGACCATTCAGACTTAACTCAAGAAAATTTGTCGGTTGCAACTTACTTTGCTAATCTTGAAGGGATTTGGTAGGAGATTGTCATCATTGTATTATTGATTGAAAGAAATTTGAAGACCAAGAAATGTATCAAAAGCAAATTGAAGAAAGCGGTGTGTTCAAATTCTTTGCTAGACTTAACACTTCTTAGATTTTGGGGAGAGATGAACTTCCTTTTTTACAGCATGTATTCTACTTGATAAGAAATGAGGAAATTCAGAAGAAAGAAATGAACGTGAAAACCCCTACACAGCTAGGTGAACATTCAGCCTTTAGGCCTTGCCTCAACCACTCAAAAAGGAGGAAGAGGGGGAGATAAGAAAAATTTGAAGTGCTCTCATTGTGGAGAAGATAAAAATACCAAAGATACTGGCAGGATCTTGCATCCCTATCTCATATCAGCAGCTCTTAAAAAGGAGAAAAAGAAAGGCCAGGGAACTTATGGGCATGTAGAAAGTTAATATATGGTGGATGGAGTGTGAAAGCCTACAACCCCTAGTGCTTCGTGTTTGGGAATTACCACTACTCCTAACAGCTTCCCTGAGTTCACAACCAAAGAGGTAGACATCCTCAATTGAAACAATCCACTATTGCCTCCTCATCCTTTGCCAAGACAGGTATTGCTTCTACCCTTAGTGGTAAACTGGTAACCTAATCACTTGGAGAAGCAAGAAACAAGCTGTTGTGATAAGATCAAGTGCTGAAGCAGAACATAGAGCAATGACACATAGAGTTGCTGAACTACTTTGGCTCTGGATTCTTTTGAAAGAGTTGGGGATAGATATAACCGGACCCTAAAGTTTTAATCTGAAAATTAAGCTATAATCAACATTACAAACAACTCAGTCCAACATGATAGGACAAAACATATCAAGATTGATGGACATTCCATACGTGTTTCTGGAGACCTCTGTATCCCTTATATGTCATCAACAAGACAACTAGCTGATGTTTTCACCAAAGGGCTTACAACATCAAGACTTAAGGAGCTGTTAT